AAGGGGGGGGGGGGGGAGCCTACAGTTTTGTGAGAGAGAATTGTGGTCCCATTAAAAAGAACACTATGTGCTCAAGACTCAAGAATGGAATTAACCAATGTCTTACTAAGTAGTAAGGGTCACTAATTGGCTTAGGAAGAGAGGGGGAAAGAAAAAAAGGAGAAAGAAATAAGAAGGAGGAGAAAAGAGAAAGAAGGAACGAATAGGAAAGGTACAAAATAGGAAGAGAATAAAATACATGGCTAATATTTATTGAGCGCGTACGAAGGAGCAGATACTGTTCAAAGTGTTTGACTTAGATCGATTGATTTAACCTTTACAACCTTCCTGTAAGAGAAATGCTATTATCCTAATTTTTCAGATTAAGCAACTAAAGCAGAAAGTCTTGGTGTCTTACACGAGTCACCCAGGGTTGCTAGATTCAATGCCCAGGACACTTCCGTACTATTATACATTGTCTCACCCAAATGCTAATAGCACCCCTGTTGAAAAGCAGATGGCCCGTGTCTCCGCATCCACATTTACTTCAATCACTTCTGCTCCTCATTCCCTCAAAGACCCACTATTGCCAGCACAAAAGGATATTTAAGCCACAGCTGATACCTCAACCAATACTATATTTTAGCTTACATGAAGAGAAAACATTATTAGTTTGTAAAGACTGGCACTTGTCCACAAGGCTGGATTAAAATCAAGAGAGGCCCTAAATTCTAAAAACGTCAGACAGTCTACCGTAACAAAGCTCTGATTTTTCATCTGGCAAGTACTCTGTTTTTTTAAAAGTAAATATCAAATTCTTTAACATTTATTTCTCATTTCTTTTGTCTTTCTATTGCGGCTCATTGAATGAAAATTTTAAAAATAACTCATTTTAAATTTACTTATGAAGTAGGTTGTTGACAGTTCAAAGTGACAGGAAAACAAGCTACTTGCTACGTCCCAGTTCTCTTGCTGAACTAACTCCATCCAGTTCTGATTCCATCACTTACCAGCTAGATGACTTTGGGTAAGGTGCTTAATCTATGCTTGCCTGAGAAATGGGAATTTAATAGGCCTGTTTGTACAGATTAGATTAAAAAATGTATGTGCCTGGTATGTAGTAAGTACTCAGTATATTTTAGCTATTAATATTACTCTATCTTCTTCCACCCTTGGCATGACTCAATGTTCAAACACTTTTGAATGACTACAGTGTGCTAGTCTGTGCTAGATCCTGACGAAATGTAGGTGACTGCCCTGACCTTAGTTTATACTCTAAAAGGGAAACAGGTTTGTAAGTAAGCAAATGCAAGTGTAATCGTTACCAAATTTAAAAGGGGGAATATCTACGCTATTATTCCATGCCCTTACCTTTCAACCCCTACTCCTCCGTTCATTTTTAATCTACAGAAATCCTCTCCAAAGATTTTTACCTTCTTTGGAATATCTACTGCATTTTTCAATTCTATTATCTACTGCCATTTATTGTCAATTGATTTTTTAAATGTTTATCTCCTGGCTAGAAGTATAAGCTTTTTAAAAAATCTTTTTTTATGAGACTACAATTATGATAGTCCTGAACTCATATAACCAAACTAATGTATTCTTGGGTTAACAGTTCTAGATGATTATATAAGTGAAACAGTTAATATCCTTGTTAGTAACTATGCTTACGAACAAGCAATAGCACATACAAAAAGTAGATTAACCTATAGCTACATTAATTATGTTTATAAAAAATTTCACAGCCATTATTTCATGTTGGTGAGCCTTTGCACTGTTACCCTTTCAATTTTCATTGACATTTTTGCCCACATTTGTTTTCTTCCACACATCACTGTCCTGTAACCTAGTCATTCTGCACACTAGCAACACTCCCGTTAAGCTGCAATTTCCCTTTCGATACCTAAAGTCCAGTCTCTTCTACATAACCCAGCCTAGCACAGGAGGGGAGGCCACATGCACAAAATAACCAAGTAGATATTTAAAAATTAATTTATTTTTCTACTTAACGTTTAATAAATGAGAAGAAACACAGTAGTCTGTCTCATAAAGAACATTTATAATACATAACGATCCATAAAGCCTCATGATGAGGTAGGAGGAACAGCTTTGGAAAACAATGTACAATCATAGAACACACAGAAAGTTAGGTCAGGTGTTGCAGCACTAAAGACATCTTATGTGCTTCTGCATTTAATGAGATGATAGTAGCATTTAACTGCCACATCTGGCCCGAAGGACAGGGCATGGCAGACCCAAAACACAACATGGAAGTTTCCTAAAGAATCACAGAATACACAGATACACTTCATTGTGCTGTTTCAAGGCATAACCTTAAGGTGGCAATTTGTGTCTTTTTACATACAACCACATATTAATTTTATGTTACATTCCCTTCAGCATCCTTTTGCCAAAGACACTGGACCATAACATTTTTGGTTTAAAAGTTTAAGCTGAATGACATACAAAAAGCTCTTGTGCCAGTAAAAATGACTGCCAAATATCCCAGCGCCTGCTAGTAAAACAAAAGAGCATCGTCACACAGTATTGGTAGAGCTACATCAAAATAGTGCTATTACAATTTCCATTTCAGATGGTCAAACACTGTATTTGACAGTTTCAATTTAAAAAACAAAACAAAAAAACCCTTTACCTTCCCAAACGTTTTAACACTGTTTTATGACTTAACTGAAACACTATTAAAATAAATATATCTATAATGTAGAATTATTCTCCACATTTATGTATGTGAACATCTTAAGACAGCAGGTAAATGACATATCATTAAAATGTTATCTGCTTAGAAACAGTAAAGATCTTCAACTCAATACCAGTTAGCCTACTAAATACTTCACATTAGCTTTCATAGGCTGTTTCCCTCAACTTTCAAAAGTTCAAGATTAACTGAGGCTGTTAACAAGATATAAAATGTTAACAGTCTCCTCCCTATTGTGATTTTCCAAAGGTGGCCTGGATGGAAATTTTTCCTATTTACGTTACATACCTTAGTCAAACATTGTTTTCTAAAATGTTAAAATACATACAGCAAAGTTTTTTGACCTTTTTTCTTGTAGGTTCCAGTCCTTACTTTTACAATGCATATGCCCTTCAAAAAAAAAAAAAAAAACCCACTAACTAAACATTCATCTAAACTACAAGGGGTGACAATGGAGAATTAAATCTCTCATCACTAAGGCTGCATTTGGCTTGGGAAAAATTTCTGGATTGGTTTTAATTCAGGTACATACAGCACCTCCTCACTAAACCGAAACGACAGACAAGTTGCTAAACACATTCTAAATACACTGATCTTGCTCAAATATAAAAGAGCCAGCAGGAGAGGTGCACCTCCTAAAACTGATGCAGTGTTATAAAACAGCATATTTAAATATTGGGCTTATGTCTCCGAATAATTCAGGGTATTCCCTTCATTTTCTTTCAAGAAGGAATAAGCTATTTTAGAAAAGACACCTAAATCCCACAATATTTAAATATAAAAGCATTTTTAAAAAGATGCTAATATAGCTAAAAATGGGTTAGAAAGTGCATTGTAAAGAAATAAATAATTCTCTGCCAAAACTCAAAAGGTGAGTCAGTGCCCACTGACTTTGCTATTATGACTAAGTCCTTTGAAAAAAAGAGAATGTTCCTATGGTACCACTTTGCTACATACAAGCTACTTAGAAATTATGAAAAGCGAAATAACTGAAACCTAGAGGTTGTTACCTTCAAAGTACTTGGGGGGGAAGGGGAGAAAAGCCCTTGTCCCAAGCTTATATATCATTTTAAAAAATCCTCATTCGGTTGATGTCTTACACATTATACAACCTTTAAAAAACAGACCCAATAAAGCATTTGTAAAGAAAAGCCCATTGCATGGAATATATTTTACCAGTTATCCTATTGCATCGTTACTGAAATGTTTCTATAACAAACTGTTTTGAGATCTTAATGTTTTGTAGTTTAAAGTATTAAGTCAGGAATGTACATGATACAGTACAATTGGAAGCTTTCTCTTTTATTCATCCATACAATGAGGGAATTCCCCAATTTCATGTCTAAAAAGAAATTGTAAAATTCAAAATAACTACCAATTTAGGAATCGAATTCCACAGTATCAGAAAAGAGTATTAAAATGTCAAGATGTACTGCAAAATTGGCAGGTTATGGTTTTGGCCCATTAGAGTAAATGTGAACTTACAAACTGTGTTCCTAAAATTACCTCATTCTCATTGGAAAAATCGGCTGTTCTTAAATAGGCCCATTGCCAGCAATAGGCTTATGCTAGAAAAAAACCACACCATCTACCACAGAAGATCATCCCTTTAAAAAGTTAACTGTCAAAAGGCCAGCGTGTTCATCTTAAGAAACATTAAACAATGAATTATTTCAAATCCCGAAAGGTAGCCATCTTAAAAGTAGTCATCTATAAAAGTCACTGAAGTAGTCAGAATACCTTGTTGCTAGAAAAATAGAATTATACATGATAACTGATATTAATATTCACCCTTTTGAGGACAAAAATCTAGTTTCTTCACAAAGCATAATCCCTCTCTATCAAGAAAAATACCACTTAAATACCCTTAAATAACATTTGTGTATAGCAACAATAAAATAACGAAGAACAATTTCCTGTGTAGATATTGCGGCATCTCGCAAAATAAGCCACTATTGGGAGATCTGAGCATTATCAAGACAGGATAACTTATAGAATCTTAATGATTAATTTTGCCTTAACTCATATTGCTTTTTAAGAATTTAATATCCAAACTGCATTAACCTTCAGATTTCTTTGTTCTCCCAAAGTCAGTGGCTCTTGGCAAAACACAAGCATTGCTGGTGGTGTTTGAAAAGCTGCATTTGAATCCATTCATGATTGGTCACTATGAAATGACTTTAACTCTGGAAAGTCTTTTTTTTTAAAGATTCTATTAGTAAGCTTGCATTTAACATGTAATTATTAGATTGAGTTTAATGTCTTTAAAAACATTTACTGAATATATGTGCTTCTGATGCCAATCTTTCAAAGCAAGTAATGCTGGTGAACACGTCCATGTTTTAGACTAACTTTGGTAAGAAAAAACACGTTCAAATTCTCAGGATTTAGAATATAGTCTCAATATTAATTTACAATAATCTAAATATTTAATTTGGTAAACTTTCTTCCCTGCTCTTACTCCCCATATGCCCTATTATGTGTAAACTATAATTCAGTTTGTTAATTATATCTCACGGTTTATTAGAGCAATACTCAGCAATATAGAACACAGGATAATAACTAACCTTTAGTATGATAAATACCCCATGTGAAGAAAAAAAAAACTTTTCCTAATAATATCCATCAGTCACTCTTAAAATATGCTGCCACTATGCTATATAATGATCTTAAAGAGCAAGTAAATATTACTTAAAGTATCAAAGGAAACAAAGTTGTTGGTGATATTTTAAGTTCTAGCAATGATAATTTTAATAAACAAAATATAACACTGGGGGAAAAGAAAAGCAGAGAAATTCCAGTAACAATTTTAATTTATTTATCCCCCTAATTAATTTTAACCATGGCAAAACTGGAAATCAAATGTCATTATGTTATATAAGGTCTATACTTACTTTAAACAAAATGTAACATAGTGTTAAAACTGGCTTTTCAAAATTGTTAACAGCATACCTGTACTCTGCACTGAGAATCACAAATTGTAATACAGAAGTCTGCTAAACAGTCCCATTATGTTCTTACAAAAATAGAATTAAACTGTGTGACCAAAGACTTCAATTACACTACTTGGCAAACTTAGAATTTCAGTGGAGTCTTTTCCCTCTTGCAGTTTAAAGCAAAAGTCAAATATCACATCTTTTTCAAGACTCACAAAGATGATTCAGGTTGTTTGTTTGGCATCTTTTTAATGTCTATCACAACAGCAGGCATGTTTTCAGCTTGAGTCCTGGGCTTCTCTAGATTTTCACTAAGTTCTAAACAGGAAATGCTAACTGTTGGGGCCTTTTCTGTATCCTTTTCAGAATAGGCTTGTGGCCGAGTCCCACAACATTGCTTCAAAGCACACTGAGTTCTGCAGGCAAGTTCACATGGGACTACACTTGATTTAGAGCCTACACTAGCAAATTCAGGCTGAATGGTAGTTGCATGAATTCCGTGATTATGAAAAACGTCTTTAATGGTTTTAGCCACCTGCATGTATGATGTTGGATCTTCACATTTTATGTGAGCAGTGGCAATGATTCTGCTTCCAGCAAGTTGCCAAACATGTAATTCATGAACTTCCTCAACTCCTTCAACATTTCGAAGTTCTTTTATCAAATTTCTGATATCAATTTGTTTAGGAACAGTTTGTAGAAGAATGAGAGCAGATTCCTTAAGTAATGGATAAGTTGTGTAAAGAAGTATACAAACCATTACAATACAAAGAGTTGGATCTAAATATAGCACCCAGCAAGGACCAGCCTCAAAAACTGTTCCTTGAGTACTATTGATTATTTCTACAAGCGCTTTGCAGGGGTCAGCGATACACGGGTTTTCACAGAACCTCCCTTCAGGACAACTATCCCAATAAAAGTAAAAGACCAAGGCATTCACTACTACAATCACTGAACCCAAAGCATCTCCAAAGACATGCAGAAAAACTCCACGCATGTTAAGTTGTCCAGCCTTTTGAGCATCATCAGCTTCATCTTCCAAATCCGTATTATCAGATTCTCTGATAACATTCCCATTCATTTGTACATCTGTTGCATTAGTTCTGGACTTTTCGGGATCTGCAAAGAAATACAAACTTTGAATCCAATACTTAAGTGTTTATATAAACATCCTTGTCTAATTCCATTCAAGTAAGGAGGTGACATTTTTTCATAAAATATAATTTTAAAATGTGCTTGGGGCAATTTAATATAAACTGCCATACTGGGACCACACCAGGACATAATGGCCAGAGCTTAATAAAGTCATTAAGAGGATAGTTTCCCCATTCTCCTAACCACCCTACCTCCCCCCACTCTTTTTAAAAAAAGTTCATCTTCTGTGGAGATGGGGTCCTGTGAACATTCTGCTAATCTTTTTGGCATATGTCAAAAAGAAAGCAAAACTGAATCCTAACACCCCACATCAAATGCAACTATGGATAAGTCTAATACAAAGACTTAATGTGACACAGAACCTTTTGTCTTTAAGGTGTTAAGGTTCACTTTTAAACGTTTATTATGAATATAAATGATAGTTTCTTGGTGCAGAGGATTTAGAAATTGACAAATCAACAATATAAAGTTATCAAGAATCAGAGTAACCTCAGTAAAAATTGCAGCTAATTGACCACTATGTGCCCTACTCTTTTTTAGACTATTTTGAAAGTGTACACCAGTAGTTCTCAACCTTCCTAATGCCATGACTCTTTAATACAGTTCCTCATGTTGTGGTGACCCCCAATCATAAAATTATTTTCGTTGCTACTTCATAACTGTAATTTTGCTACTGTTATGAATCGTAATGTAAATATCTGATATGCAGGATGTATTTTCATTGTTACAAATTGAACATAATTAAAGCATTAGTGATTAATCACAAAAACAATATGTAATTATATATGTGTTTTCCGATGGTCTTAGGTTCAACCCCCAAAGGGGTCGCGACCCACAGGGTGAGAACCGCTGGTGTACACCATGATGACTTATTTCTATACATTATGAAAGAATCCCCCCCATTTATTTAATTAACACATTCATCACCTCACATATTTATCTTTGTTTTTTTTGTTTGTTTTGGTAAGAACATTTAAGTTCTACTCTCATAGCAAATTTCAATTATACAACACAGTGTTATCAACCATAGCCACCATGTGTTACACAGCTCCTCAGACCTTATTATCTTACAGCTGGAAGTCTGAACCTTTTTACCAACCTCTCCCTATTTCCCTCTGTAACTCTTAAATCAAACGTACTGATCTGTTAAAACACACACACACAGAGCATCTTAATTTTCTTTGGAATAAAACCCTGCAGAATAGTAATGAAAGGAAATTCAATTATCTACTAAACTTTTTCAATATACAATCTGAATTTCATTAACCTAATATCCTACATCTTCAAGACAAGGAAAACTGTCTATGTAGTATCATGCAACCAGGTAAATAAATACAAATGAGAAAAAATTGGAAGGAAATACAAGCTGTGATTCTTGAGCTTGGGTAGTAGGGCATTCATTGGTTGACTCCTTTCAACATCTACTTTCCAAATTCCTTTCAAGAGTACTTATGTTTAGAATGAACAGCATCCATTAAAAATAAAAGGTGAAAAATTACCATCACTTTTAGTGTAACTGAAAAGTCCTAACTGAAATGTTAAACATGCCTAAACAGGTCCTAAGTTTAGGATTCTCAGAATTCGGGTTTAGATTTTAGACAATTAACTGAAACATACCTTGCTGTTCATAAAAGAAACCTGAGTTCTGGAAAGTCAATGGCAAAAGAGCCCTGAATACAATATTCAGAAACTTGTTCAAAGGGCACAAGAAACCACCTGGATTTTCAAACAGCCAACGGGCTAAGAACGAACTGCTGATTCCCTCCATTTCCCAACAGGGTCAATAAACTGAATTAGGAAGCATCTTTGATCCTTTAAAGACCCAACTTAGACAATCTCTTGAAAAGATAGCCTGTTAGGTCAGCCAAGGGCGGTAGCGCACTGCAGAGGGCTGTCGCCCACCTACACCCCCAGACGCG